TGGCAACCGGTACTATCTCAATTTTGACAACTTTACAGGATGAAGAAAAAACTCGTTTGCGTCATTTATATAGCATCTGGTTTATTAAATAAAAATATGTAGTTTTTAAATATTTTTATCACACATGTTATTAAAAACAATGGAATATCTTGCAACGCTGCGGAGTACGAAATAGTATTAAATGGTATAAAAAAGTGAAATCTTTAGAAAATTTAGGTAGTACCAGTTGCCAGTTCACAGTCGAAATTCAACTCACCAACTTCGCTCACTGAGTTTACTTCTTCAAAAATAGAGCACTGAATCTATAACAACCGCCGTGTGAAATTTAATTTAAAAATAGAACTCGGCCAATAAATTCGTTAATCAAAACCGTTAATTTAAATTCTTAAGATAGTATTTAAAAAAATTGAAAACAAAAGGTTGAATTCCAATTTTCAATAGAATTAAATAATTTTGAAATTAGAGCGCGACCTTTTTACAAGAACGTCAGAGCGGAGCGCGGGTCGAGAAATGCGCGAGCGCCATCGCGAAAGAATTGGCTCAACGGGCGCCGGGACCTCTGCGCAGGGCAGGGAAAGCATAGTTCTATTCCCTGGGTGACAGGGTTGCACGAAATTACTGATTTCATACATTGAAAAATTTTTATTGCTGTCGAAATTGCAAATTTTCCTACAGATATTATTTACAAAAAACTTCACCGAATGTTAACTACTTGGGGTTTAAGCGAATTCTTTACCAAAAAGAGAGAAAGGAAATCAATAATTTTATAATAAAATCCAATTTATAAAGTCTCAATTTGTGTTGGCAGTTGAAACTTTTTTCAAATTTTACTATGTCATGATGTCACCTTAAAATAAGTTTTTTAGAGTGACCATTATAAAACATTATAGGTATCCACAAGTGTTCGGCAAACAGTCTTCACTGTCTAGGTGATTTTAGGTAGGTCAATCAAATAATGTATAACTTAATAAACGCGACAAAATACTCTGACAAAAACCAGTGGAACAGTCTAACTTTAAAAATATAAAAAAAAACTAGTCCAATTCTGTAAAAATAGCAAAATACCTAAACTATGTTATGAAAACTTCGTATAGAGATTTTATTAAAATATTTAAAATAAACAAAAAGTTTTTAAGTTTCTAAACGTCTCTTAAGTTGATAAATATTTTGAATGACGATTTTTAGGAACATAGATGACCGCCTTATAAGGTTTCAACGTACTACTTACCTGTACTTTCCCGCGCCTGCGCAGCCAACTGGCTAAGCTGTAGGTGTCGCCGTATCGCGCGCAGAGGATGTTTTTACAATTCCAATTATAAACAAAGCTCCGCTGATGACGGACCTTTGCTCACTGTTTCCATTGTCATGGTAAACGGATTGGAATAAAAAATAACGATAAGAGCCAAACTCGGGCAAAATCTAGCGAATGGTAAGCAATTGAATTATACTACAATGTGAAAACTCAAAATACCTACGATCCAAGAGCCATATTGCAACGCCTCCGTTACCATGCTGGACTGCCACCCAGAGGTCTCGGGTTCAATTCCCGGGCCTTGAGAAATATTTCTATGACGTACATCTATTTCTCTCGTGGGCTTGGGTGTAATTTTGGTTGTCTATGTGTGTGTCCATGGCACCCGCGATACAGGGTTTCCCTAGTGCGGGACTATGTTGAGTGTGTGCGTTATTATAAAAAATAATTACTTATGTCTCAGCGTGACGGGCGCAGTGGCAGTGGCCCTCAGGTCTTTGTGATCTAAAACTGTGAGTGATACTGCAACTGTTATGGATAGGCATGTCGCTTACTACCAGATGCACGACTCGTTTGTCCCGCCCCTTGACATCATAAAAAACAACTGGTTGAGTTCTTTTTGTGACACCTACAAGTTAAGTATTGTTCTGTGTTTTACACGGTCGCTAACGACTGTAGTGTTGTAAACTCATGGTATGGTATATAAAGTTCTCGATAGCTTTGTTTGCTTATGTGTGCGTTTGCCGATTTAGAATAGGACATGTCCGCGTCCTGCCTGTGTTAGGAAGTCACTTTTTTATTCCTAATTCTGTTATGGGAGATGAGGACTATTTAGGTTGATGCAATATCTTGTAGTGTAACACCATAACCACCAGAAAACTTCGACATTTTAACCGAATCATTCGATTAACATATCGTTCTGGAATCGTAGGGCGTTTTTCGAGCTATTCAGAACATTCGAGTTAAACGTTCGGGTACGATATCGTTATCCTACAGCGTTTACGGAGTTAGTCGGTGAATTGGATTATAAGAAAAATGAAAATCCTTTTACATATACTTTTAAAGATTTTAAAGGCTTAAAATATAGGAATGCATTAGTCTTCAATAAAAATTATATTAATAAAATTGGACAAAATCCAGACCTTATATAAAATAACAAGAGATTTCCATATTACATTCTTTGCTTTGTAAACAATAGGACGTTCGGTAACTTTAATTCGATAACTGTGTTCTAAATAAGGCTTGTAGCTTTTATCGGTCGACAAGTTCGAGTAATCGTACGGGTGTGACGTCATTTCGGTTCGGTTTCGAATACGACAGTTTGACCTTCGATTCGGGTGTTGTGAATAAAAATGAAAAGAAATCGTACGATATCAAATCGAATCAATTGGCAATTGAGTTATCGTAAGGTGTTGAATCGACCCCCTGTACTCATTTATATCAAACTAGGCTGCCACGGCTGGTAAATAAATACCTATAGTCCGTTTGTTTAGGTACTTAACTAAATGTAAACAATTTTGAGATGAAATATACATTTTTATAAAATTATTTTTACTTTTACCTTCAAATACAAAATACAAATACTTAGCTTCATATGAAATTGCATGCCTATTTTTATATTCATTTATTAAAGTATATTTACTAAAGTATATATAAGCAACCTAAACAAATGGACTATAGTTGCTTGGCTTAAACATTCTTTTCAACCAAGCCGTGGTGGCTTAATGGTTTTACATACCGCCTCTCAAGAAAAGGTCATAGGTTCGAGTCCGGGTTCGCACCTCTAAGTTTCTCGGAATTTGTTTTCGAAATTTAATTTGAAATTTACCACGAGCTTTATGTTGAAGGAAAACGTCGTGATGAAAATACAGTTTTCAGTCGAAAGGAAACCCGTGTCCATCAGTGGGACGTATAAATTGTTTGGTGAGGGTGATTAAACGTTTAAACGATTAAACGTGGGTAAAAATAATAATTTACGGAGACAAAAAAAAACTAACCGCCAAAACACGTTCCGTTAGAAAATGTCGCGTCGTTATTTAACGCCGTGACGTAACGTCGTGTAGAATGGTAAACGTGCCCGCGAATAGGGCACCCCATAAATTATAAGGTTTCAAGTGGTTCTTGTTAGTTCGTTCATACGTCAACTGAGTTCTAACGCTAAAGTGTTATTACCCACAGTTAAGTACTTTTGGCGCAAAAGTTGTTATTGTCGCTCTTGTAAAGTTTTTGTTTTTTTAACATTGTGTTTTTGAGTTTCTCGACGACAAATGTTCAGAAGAAATATGGTAATTGATGGCTTTGCTTTTTTTCAAATTGAAATAGTTGTTAATGAATGTACTATGGAGCGATAAGGATTACTCAGCAGGAATGTAACGGATGTCGTTGAAAACTTGCTGAGAGCGCAAACGTGCCTGATAGAATTTGCATTTTGTACTGGCTGTACAACTGTTTCGCCGGAAGAGTATCGCAAATAAATAATTTAAGAACTACTCCTAGACGTTTTTACTTTTTATAGGTTATGATCTTCTAGTACGAAGCGGCTGTTTGGTGAAATAAGATTTGTTTGGACTTGGTAACATTCGTCACACAAAAATTATGTCTGCTAATAAAAAAAAATATTTTGGTAACTGATTTTGTTACAAGAATATAAATAAACTTTCCTAGCAGTAGAGCTCTTTATAATTCGGTTTAAGCATCGTGTTGAAAAAAAAGCCGACCTCGAAAATCATTCATCCCCTAGTTTGCCACCCTTAGAGGTGAAATATTTTCATCAAATTTAAATGGGACCACTTCTGAGGTACCCTCTTTCCAACAAAAAAAAAAAAATCAAAATCGGTTCACAAGTCGTCGCCTTACTTTCGCAAACTCGTGCCTTAAAACACAAAGTTACTGGAATACAAAAAATGGATTGTACATACAAATTTGACAGGCTGATTTCATATCACATTTCCTACATATTCACACAGTGCCGTTTACCTATTTTCATAGTAATGCATCAAAATTAACGCCCTTAATAAGAAATTTAAAATAAATCGTTTTGCCATCTCCTGAATAAAAAGTGAGTTAACATAACACACATACCAAAAAAACATACTTGAATTGAGAATTGTCGGTTAAAAAGATTAGCCAGTCTATACACTACTTTGTCTTTCACAAGAAGCTCTTTGTGAAAAAGCTTGTCAAGGGAAGTATTGCTACCTTACCTATTTCTGACATCATGCAGTAATGTGACCATTAATGGGTCCGGTTTTGAAGGATAAGTAAGGGTGTTGGTGAAATTACAGGCACATGGTACTTGTCAACTTATGTCTCAGGGTGTCTGGCGCGGTGGCATTGCTCAGCTTCACTTGGTATTATAATTCTAGGGTCGAGAGACTAAAGCACATAAGACAAAAAAGTGCTTTATTTGTTAATATATAATTATATATTTTTGTGTTGTATTTAGTGTTGGAAGTCTAATAACCTCTAGAATAAAGTTCGAAATTTATGAAGTAACAAATGAATTTGACTTATGTGCTTTAGCCAGTAGATGTATTAATTTAAATGAATGATGTTGGATTTTGACTTATGTGCTTTAGTCCGCCGACACTAGAATTAAATATAGGTAAAATCATTAAAGTCGGTATCCAAGCTGGCTTAATGCACGTTAAGGACTTTACACACCTTCGAAATCCTTCGTCGAGTAAGCAAGTGATACATTATAAGTAAAAAGTAAATATTAGTTACTCATTATATCGTCTTCTTGCAGCTCGTGGTTCGCCGCCGCGGCCGCCGCGGGGTGTATGCTCAGCGATGTACTCCTGTCTCCCTGGACGCTTATAGCCTGGACAGCGTCAGTGTCGGGCATAGGAAAGGTAACCAAAGGCTGCGGGCTAGCAAGAGGAGCTATGGAAACCCAGCCTATGATGATGAGGTAAAGAACTCTTCTTTTATGCTGCGTGGAAAAAGTTGTAGTGATAAAGGTAGAGAAAGGGATGGTTAGGTGGTTCAGTGAGGAAGAATGAAATTTTAAAATTAAAATTTTAAAAATTAATGTACTTATTATATATGATTTAGTCAAGGTCAAAGTCAAATAATAATTCATTCCATAGGTAAAATTTTTACACTTGAAAACGTCATTTTTAAGCTACTGTTCGTTCGCTACGATGACCTCCCTGAGAAAATCGAGCAAGAAACTCTAGGGATTGCTCTTTTCAAATAAACTTAAATGCCATAGAATACATTTTGAATCATATTTGTGTGGAATCTAGACTCACGTTGTCTTTCCATAAATATGTATCTAACACGTAGTTTACAATTTTGTAATACGACTTTTCAATTAAAATACTTTTAATGTAAGTTTTAAATTTAGGAAATTGTAATCTTAATATTTGGTCCTGAATGTTATCGTAAAAATATTGTAAAAACGTATACAGTTCCTCATAAAAGCATCGTTTGCCTTATTTAAACGAAATCGTGGTACCATGAGTTTAGACTTAGTTCTAAGGTTAATTATAGATGTCATCTTATGAGGTAAATGTAGGAGAATAAGTCTGTAAGGGCCGTCCATTGCGAACTTCTATTTACAACCAAAATGAGGATGTTTGTGTTTTCGGCCTACCCCGGTGTATTGGTAAGCCGGTTTAATAAAATTATTAAAATTATTAAAAACGAACGATACCTTGGTAGCCTACTGGTTTAACCTTTTTTTTTGCCCCCTTTCAAGTAGAGGCAGTGTATGAATAGAATAGAATAGAATAGAATAGAATCGTTTATTTCATGTTATCAATGTCACAATATTACAATTGGAAATACAATGTCAAGGGATAACTATGATCGTCAGTAACAAAATAATAATAATAGTAATGAATATAAAATAAAGTAATATAACTACTGCTTGTCGAATAAAATAAAATTAAAATTGTTTCAAAAGAAACTCATCGACACTGTACAATTCAATATCCAATAAAAGGATTTTTAGTCGGGTACGGGTATGGGTTCGAATCTGGGTTCGCGAAATTGAATTTGAAATTTTATAATGAGCTTTTCGGTGAACGAAAACATTGTGATCAAAACCTGCACGTCGAAGATGATTCACGACCCTCGGGAAACGTGCAAAGTCTCCAACCCGTATTGGGCCAGCGTGGCGGACTGTGGCCCAAATCCTCGCGCGAGAGGAGTACCGTGCTCAGCAGTGAGACGTACGAAAGGGTTGATGGTGATGATTAATCCGGTTTGGACATTCGGGGAAATAGACATTCGCGTAGTTGACAATTTGCGTGTAAAGTAGTGTTCATTAAACACCCTCAATAAATAGAATAGCATAGAAATCGTTTATTACTACGCCATAACAAAAATATACACAGTTATAAAATGAAGATAAAAAAAAGATGAAGCTAAATTAAAACAAAAAATTAAAATTAAAATAACAGGAAAAAAGGAATAAAAATACAATCATACACAACAACAAAGCAAACATTAAATATTCAACACAATTAGATTGAATGTCATGTGTGCAGCTGTGGCGTATGTAACAGGATCCCACTCAGCTATTGTCACCACCGAGAAAAGGCTGTGACGCTGATTTTCAGTGGGCCCTAAAACTAAGTGAATAACGGACGTGTGTGTCGCGAATATACGAGTAAACTTAAATAAATTACATAAATATTTCTATAATGTAGTGTGTTGTGTTCAGTTATATGTATAGAATAATTAAATAATGATTTTGATACATATATAAAGTGATAAGTGTATGTAATGTAGTGTCCAACATTTACAACAAACAAAATAGAACTTATTTAGATTAAAATGAAACCGATTGTGAGATTTGTGTCACGTGTACTACGCAAGAAGAGAGGGTAGGCGCGCGGGAGGGGTACCCGGCTTACGAGCACGGAATACTGACCTCACGAGCCAACAAAAGTGCAGCCCGCTCCATTGCAAACACTAAACAGGTTTTGTCCTGCGTCGTAGGTAATTAGCTCGCATAATAGCGTGCAGTCTCCTACACTACTAAATGATTACAGGTCACCTCCCATCCGATGCAGTATGCAGCCCTCGCCAACTTCGCCCTGGACGTGGATTCTATGTCAACAGAGTTTGCAGAGATCCCATCCGTCACCGTCCGTCCTGACGAGGTGCCTCCAGGCTGTGAGGATAAGAACCGGTATTCGAACGTGCTGCCGTTACCGGAGACCAGGGTCCCCTTAAAGAGGATTGGCAATGATCACACTTCAGAATACATTAATGCCAATTATATTACGGTAAGTTAAGAATATTGAAGAGATCCCCGGTTAGCAATAAAGCGGCGTAATAAACGTAGAGGTAATTTAATAATGTGCCTTACAACTACACCAATTGCCTGTTTTCAAACTAGGGAATTCCCTGTAGGTACTATGAGTACCAGAGCAACGGAATTCACTCTGGGTCACTTCCCAGAATACCCAGATCAGAACCAATTTAGAAAAGCTGTTTTCCAATTTGGTCCTACCGGGAATCGAACCCGTGACATCCCACAGTATTAGGCTACTGAGTTCGTAAAATTATTATGTGGTGGCAATATATTGAATTGCATTGAATGTGCAGTCTGCCTCTGGAACAAGTAAATACTTCTAAATAATATTTCCCTATGTCTGTGCGATAAATCTCTCAGATTTTTTTTGGATAACTTGGATAAATTATTAGATTTTTTTTAAATGTAGCAGATTTGGATAGTTTTTGTTTTAGTCTTTTGCTGATTAGCAATTGTAACCTTATTATTAAAAAAAATAGCGAAGTATGTGGAATTACATCTATTTGCCAAGTGTTATTCAAATCGGTTACAGGAAAGTGCGCGAAACCGGATTCATCCCTTAGTTTGCCACCCTTAGAGGTGGAATATTTTCTTCAATTTCAATGGGACCAATACTGAGGTACCATCACTTTTCGCAACAAAAAGAATCATCGAAATTGGTTCATAAATCGTGTAACACAAACACACAAAAAAAAAGAAAATACAGTCGAATTGAGAACTTCCTCTTTTTAAAGTCGGGTAAAAATTAATCAGGATGTCCTCAACTCGTCACTTGGCCAACTTGGTGATGTATTCCTTTTTTGAATACAGTTTTGCTAAATATTGACAGATAGGAAAAAAATGTAGTTGGACGTTTGCATATAAATGAAACTGCATATGTGTACCAAGACTTGAGGCCCGGTAGTACTCTTGCCAAGCTCACCTTTTGCACAAAAATACAGGTGCTCTTAATGACAATCGATTAAAATCTAGGAATGTCTATAAATAGAATTATTAAAAAAAATCTTCTTTTATCTTAAATTTCAGGGTCCAGGTAACATAAAAGGTTACTATATCGCATGCCAAGCCCCACTACACAACACCGTGGTGGATTTCTGGCGAATGGTGTGGGAACAGAATTCAAGGGTTATTGTCATGTTGACCGAGTACATGGAGAACGGAGTTGTAAGTGATTTTGTACATTACAAGGGTTTACGTATCTCGTGGTTTTTGGTCACCAACTGTACAACCTTATGGAACCTTGACATTTTGTATGATCTTCTTTTAAGGGATTTGATGGCTTCTGAATTAATTTTCGCCGGTGATCAATAACCACCACGGGGCACAAGCCTAAAGACCTAGCCTATAACAAGACCAGTTCATAAAATTCCTTTAAATATGTCATCAATAAACCCCTCTTTGCCAAAGAGACATTACTTAGTTAAAGGGTACTTCAGTATAGTTGAAATCGTTCATGTTTTGCAAGGCCAAGTTCAGCGAGCAAAATTCCATAAACACTACAATTACTGAAAAATAAAAATATCTCAAAAACATCTAAATCAAGATGATTACATTTTTTCAGGAAAAATGCTACGAATATCTTCCACCATCAGAAGTATCAGACAACAAGCGAACATTCGGAGAGTATCAAATTATCCTCATGAAACGAGAGCAGCGTGACAAGTACGCCATATCTAGCGTCCAGGTCATTAACTTGGCTACCAGAACCTGGAGAGAAGTGACTCATCTGTGGTACTTCTGGCCAGCAAAAGGAGTACCTGATGATTATGAGTCGGTGTTGGAGTTCTTGTCAGAGATGAGAAGCTATATGAAGATAGCACAGACTGCCAAAGAATATGATGAAGAAGGTTAGTTCTAATATTGTATTGTTGTAGTAATTAAAAAATTTGGCTATTCTCACATCGACACTCAAATAAATATTGAAAAGCTGCATATCCGAGGTCGACTCTTCGTGTGACGTGATCTCTTATCCACATTCAATGAGGTGTACCCAGTTATGTGTGGAACCATTCATTCTAATACCAACCACAAAGTGCTAGAGCGTCACGTATAATGATTTACACAACGAAATACTGTTTATTTTCCAGGAGTAGAAGTAATCTACGGCGACCAGAACCGTTCATCGTTCCACAATTTGTCCAAGCTACGCAGTGACGAGAACAACTCTGGCAATGGCGTCAACGTATACTCTCCGGCAAGGGCTGAGGAGCAGCTGCGCAGGGGCAATACTACTAATGGCACGCTGAGCAGAATGAAGGCGGCTTCTGAGGTCGAAGGTATGTTAGAAAAGTTCTTTTTATTGTCACACGAATTTAGCTTGCAAATTTAGATGTTTGTACCGACACTAGGTTGGTTTATACCCTGTATATATATATGGTGACAACAAAAACATAATTACAAAAATAGACCAATCATTCACTCATTTATTAACCAAGGCATATGTTCCTGAACTGTTTGGCTCACCACTCACTTAGGCACGATAAAAAAATTTTAACGCCCACCACCACAAGAAATAGCTGAAAACACGTATTTTTTTATATAAACCTGACACAAAAAATCACATGGAAAACAATCTATGTAGTGTAATATATATAGATAGTTCAGTCCCCGTAGCATGGCTACGCATGATAGTCGCGCCACGCGCGATAGAATTGAAATAAGCGCGCGCTATTGGCTGTCTCAATCAGATCTAATTTAGATAACCAACAGCGCGCGCTTATTTCAACTTTATGCTATGCTACAGTAGCACCACTTGGACAGCATCAACGGCCCCAATAGCTTCCAAAACCCCTACAGGCCCCGTAGAACTCTTCAGCGCGCACTGGGGTGGTGGCGGTAGGGACCACTTTGGGAAATTATAAAAAAAAGTTTCTGCTTCCGATCATCTCAATTTTCCTACTTTCGTCAGATCCTCTTAATTGTATATACTTCCATTTCCAGGTGTGAGACCCTGCGTAGTAATGTGCGCATCAGGCGCAGGCAGGTCAGCAGCAATGATAGCCGTGGACATCTGCACGCGAGCGCTGGCAGCGGGCATCGCTGACGTGCCTCGAGTTGTGCGAGAGCTTCGCGCGCAACGTCCTCACTCGCTCTCCAATAGGCATCACTATATCTTTTTGTATAAGGTTTGTACGTTTTCTTCTAATGTCTTGTAATACTTTTGAATACATTGCAATTGTTATTTCATGCTCTGCTTAAAGAACAACTAATATAACGACTCATCCGTAGAACAAAGATCTATGTGCAAGACTACTTGTTCTCAGGGCATAGTACATTTCGTTGGTTCTTCTTCGGATGGATGGCAGATCGACCTCTGTTCGATTTTATATTTCCTAAACGAAATAAGATGTATAAATTCTCAAAATACCTTTACGTAGGCCTTAGTTTGAGTAACGAAATTATGTATTTATTATCTTTTCGCTATATAATCACATCGGATTGTGTTCTTCGGATGAGTCCATAAATATTGTTAATAATGATCAATAGTAATTAATAATTTACGTGACATACAATAAATACTCTACCAAGTTTTATTATTTATTATATATTTATATACTTAATAAAAACTGTATTTTCTTACAAGATTTCCACACATGATTTCATTTTAAAATCTCAATCATGTATAATAATAACTTACACACTCAAGATAGCCCCGCACTAGGGAAACCGTGTCGCGGGTGCCATGGGATAGACAACGACAAATTACACCCAAACTCATGCGAGAAATAAATGTAGGCCATACAAATATTTCTCCCGGCCCGGGAATCGAGCCTGGGACCTCTGTGTGGCAATCCGGTGGCATGGTAACCGTTCGGCATGGTAACAGAGGCAGTTTTGCTTAATCGTGTATAAAACATGTTTTATTTATCTCTACATTTCGAACATGTTGCAATGTTGTTCATGGTCTCGAATGAATTTTATACTATTCTGGTCTCTCTACTCAACTCTGATCCCTTGAGAAGACTACGGACGTTGCTGCACATCCGAAACGTCGAGGTAAATAAGATATGTTTTATACACGATTAAGCGCACTTCGCATGATCAACACTCATATGACGAACGGCTATGTAGTAGAATTCCTGCCTGCAGACTTGTTCCCTGAACGGTATAACTTGGACCGTATCTAGGCGAGAGTGAATAGGCATTATTTAGGTGTGCATGCTCTATCGTCGACTTCATCGTCACTTTCCATCAGGTGAGATGGAAACCACATACGCAATTATTTCTTAAATAAAAAAGTCCCGATGTTAAAATTAAGTAATATAGCAATATCGGGAAAATAAAAAGAAGTCATACCGTGGTAAGAAACCTGATACTAGTGATAATCATTAAGTAATATATTCTCTTAGTTCATAAAAAACTGTCCTCTAAAGTTTTTTTACTTTTTTTGGTGGTACAACAACACGTAACACACTACAAATAATACTTACAAGTACTACATATATCGCACTGCTATTACAATAGTGTTATAATTCAAAATATGTGAAAGTCAAGATTATACCATTATTGAACGTAAAATTTGATTCTCTACACTGACGTGCCATAAAAATAAAACTGTCTTTAGAATATTGCACGAAACAACTGAAAAGAGATATCGACTTCACTCAAAATGAGACACGCTTTATGTGAGCTAGTTCTGGCCAAAACAGACCTTATTCAAAAATATAAAATTATCTATTCTCTTTTGTTTTTAAATATATTTGGCAAATAGGAAATTGTTTGTAATAATCTAAAAACTGTACATACATTTTAATTATCTTTCACGGGAAACGATTAATTCGTTTTTCATCGATTCTGAGAAAATACACTTTTTGAGTTAATACACTATTCTATTAATAGTGCAATATAACATTATAAATCTGATAGGAAATGAAACTATTTTGCCGGATTTAAATCTGGTTCCATGGTCTTGTAAAGGGCCCGAAACGTCGGTTTGTTTGAAAAAACAAATATACGCGATTTAAATCCGGAAAAATAGTATCATTTCCTATGTGTAACAATCGCGAAAACCTAAGAACTCGATTATAAATCTGATATTCAATTATAATTATACACAACATTTACATTATGACAATATATAATATAAAAGGAAAGACGTTAAACAATATAAGGACGCTATTTTTTGCTTATTCTAGTGTGCAGTGTTGTTTTGAAGCACTTAAAAAATGTCATGCTGGGAACATAATATGATATTATATGAGTTCGTGGAATTACATCTATTTGCCTAAGTTTTATTGAAATCGGTTACTGGAAAGTGTGCGAAACCGGATTCGTCCCCTAGTTTGCCACCCTTAGACATGGAACATTTTCTTCAAATTTAAATGGGATGACAACTGAGGTAGCGTACTCTTTCCAACAAAAATAAGTATCATAGAAGTCGGTTCACAAATGCCAGAGTTATCGCGTAACATAAATACAAACAAAAAAAAACATGCAGTCGAATGGAGAATCTCCTCTTTTTATTCGGTCGGTTAAAAAAGATTATATTTTCAATATTCTGGTTTAGTTGCGTGACCAACATTTATTTTCTCTTTTCAGGTTCTGAGTGAATACGGTAACAAGTTGATGGGTGGTGGAGTAGACACGATCTAAGTCCAGGTCATCGCTAAGTTCATTTGCGTAAAACTAGGACATCTTCATGCGAAACAAGTTCCATGACAATTGTTATATTTCCTAAGTTTATTGAGAAAACATTGGATTAATAATTTAATATACCAAAGTATAAGTTACTAGATCTCTAGATATTGTCGCTCAAAAAAGAAATATATTTTGTTCGAGCATTTTTTATCTGTTACATATTTCGTTCCCAGATTACGTAATGATATTTAGATCATTTAGATTTTGATAAGTTTGTATATAAATATTTGTTCATTTTATTTGACGAACAATTTTATTTTTATTTATTTTAGAGATCATATTTTCACTAGTCTGTATATTGAAAAGTCCCTGTTTAAGGGGTTTTTGTTTCCTGTTTTTTTAATTCAGAAGTCTAGCATAATATGTCACAATCTACCATAATAAAGAATAATAAAATTAGTGTGTGAGATCTGCTGTGATTTCTACTAACCTTATTCTAAGCTGTAAAAATACTAACCTGATTTAATACATAGAATTAAATACTCTGTGGTATTTTGTGAGTAGCTGGTTTCATATTGACCATTTTTTTTCTGGCTTACTGGAAAATTATAAAGTATTTATAATAGAGGAGGTAAGAAAACGTATGTAGCTCCGATTGGTTTGTATTTCAATTCAGCAAATGTTTTTGAACTTGCTTTTTTACTTTCACTATAGTTTTTATTATAATTATTTGTTACGAAAGTTTGAGGGTAATACGTAATATTGAAAAGTATCTTAACTGATGGGACGCTTTCTAAGTACTTTACAAATATTTTGTTAAAGTGTTGTTACACATTTTACTAATTAATTATAAGTTTGTTATGTATATATGTAATATTTCAATGCAGCTAACGGAAATGTCGGGAATAAATTTGTTTAAAAAAATCAAAGCATTTAACATAATGTAGAAAGTAAAAGAATATATTTTGCACTGTTTCAACCCACACATAGGTATTAGTAATTAAACATTATAGTAAAAGAATAAATATATAAAGACCAAAAAATATATATGTTATTTGCCCTACGACTACTATAAGGATCTGATTTGTAAAGAATATAATAAATTGTAAAATAAGATTAAGAATTTTTATTTCAAATATTTTAATAAAACATTGATATGCCGTGTACCTTCTGAAATTCAATTTGGAACTTATGGTATGAATAAAAAAATATGTTTTTAACTTTTACAAATTCAAAGAATATCATTAATGAACATAATTAAAATAATCATATAAGAACAATTCGGATTATCCGGGCGATTTGATAGACTAAGTGAATCTTTTGTCAAATAGGACAGTAAACAAGATCATCTCAAAAGATGGTCTTGGATTGAAAACCGAGTTATTACATGAACTTACTATTCTGGGACCTCGTCTTCGTCGTCTTCATCGAAATTCGTAACACTATGGAATGGTGTCTTAGGCACGGTCGATTTTTCAAGTGCAATAATTTCTGAACCGTTAAATTCATCTACATGAAAGTATTGTTGTGAAAGTTCTGGGTTTATTTCAATATGTGATTTTGCATCAATAGATGTTGTTGACTCTCGAGTCCGCAAACGATCCTTTTCGAACATGTGATTCGCGTTTTTCTGTACACTTTCAACCCCATCTACATGTTCGTGAACATTACGTGCAACATTATCAAATGTGGCATTGTGGCCGCTTTGACTATGGCTTTCAAGCATAATGTCTTCTATGTCTTCCTTGATTTCAAGCAAACTACTAATATATTCATCTCTATCACTCACTTTAGCTTGTTCACCTGCAGCAATAGTATCAATTTCATTTTTACCTTGGCTTGCACTACCAGTTTTAAAGTTTCGATCTGAAAATACCATGCCTTCTCTTCCAAAATCATTTAGTGACTTTTTATCATGTTCTAAAATAATACAGACATTTTCACCACTATTACTGTCAGTCTCTTCACTTATAATATCATGGCCGATATAATCGTTATCGTCTTCAACCATATCATCGTATGCGTCTTCGTTTTCAACGCCGTTTTTGTCTTCGCTTTGGTCACTTTCAGTAATGCTATCACTCGATATTGTGACATCATCATCTTCCACGGTGTGTGTGTGATAATCTTCCATTTCGGTTTCAATTTCGGGTTTAAATTTAGCCATTCCTTTTAAATCAATGTCTTCTTCGATTGAAACTTCCGAATCTTCAGCACAGCTACCATTGTCTTCAATAAATTCTGTCGATTTGCAAGGATCCATTTTCTCAGAGTCAAGAAGAGTATAATCAACGTTAGAGTGCTCTTTCTCTGGAAAGTCGATCTCGTTTTCTTCTTGCAAAGTATCGTGTACACAATATGGCTTATTACTAGATACTACTAGGGAACCAGCGAGAGATGTTGATGATACTGTTGCAAGGTGGGCTGAAATTTTGAAAGCCTTAGCAGTAAAATAAGAAACTGAAGATGCTTATAAACAATAGACAATAACATTGAGAGAGCTACCCTTATAGTAAGACAATAATTACCCGGCTTGTAAGCGCTCTGAGACACAAATATATCTTCAGTCTTCTGCAATTCAAAGAAAGCAGCATTAGGATATATTATTTTTTCTAATACAATCATATATTTAGTTACACATTAAAGGAACGGTGTGTACCTCAGTTACGTTTGAATTAATATCAGTCAATGATCCAGTATAAGTCGACCTACTACAGAGATCCTGTAAAAATGCAGTCAAGTTTTAGTAACATAATATCTATGGACAAAAGCTTCCACTCATGTACTTTTTTAAAGTAAAGGACTTGCGCTTGATCACTACCTAGCATCAGAACAAACTCTTCCAGAAGATGACTGTTCATTTGTACCTATATATTTCCGCAATATTTTTCGAACGATACGTCTGAAAAATATTGTGGAAAACGCTGTGTCTTCCGGTACTTTGTTTAAGGGGCAATTTCGAAAGTATTGATAACGTTCCAATTTCAATTGTTAGTGGCAAGTAAAATTATGCAACGTATGTTAAATGTGATTTGTCGACAATATTTCAAAACATACATTATTACAATAACACCTTGTCATTAACTTACATCGTCAGAACCAAAACGCAAGGATTTTGTAGGTTTTCCTCCAGCGATATCGTCCGGTAAAACACTGTCAGTCCTTCTGTTCATGTCTCTGCGACGTCTCACGCCATAAGCTCTATAGGCCGCCTAAAATTAAAACACAATTTATTGTCATCTTGTTTATCTACATCAGCCCGCATTACGCAGTGGGTCATTGCATTTACAACCTAATTTCAATACATCATGTATGTTGTACACCTTATCCTTAATAGTCTTTTATAGCGTACAGCTGCCACCACCAGAGAATCTTTCATGTCATCATCATTATTTCAAACGAAAATCGTCCACTGCTGGACATAGGTCTCCCTCAACGGTTGTGCGCTGCTTGCATTGAGCGGATTCCTGCACCCTTCACCAGGTCATCGGTTTACCTTGAGAATGGTCTGCCTGCGCTGACGTCTTCCGGTACACGGCCGCCATTCGAGAACTCTTTGTCTCTGTCACTTAAGTTTTACAATTTTTTGGGGTGAGTCGGTTACATTGGTTTGGTATGACGAGGACTATATGCTGACCACGTTAAACCATTTGGTTTAAAGTCATTGATATAGAAATACTAGCAAACTCGGCATACTTGCGAAAACGTGTAAATTACCCAACCCGCAATGAGCTAGCATCGTAGATAATAGCCGTTTCCTTAGAATAAACCCGTTCGCAGCAGTGGGGTCTAATAATTCCAGAAACTTACGGGCGTGGGCATAATTACTCTCGAAAATTCCCTGCGAAAAACCCACCTGTATACTTCCAGCAGCTTTCTCATACTCTTGTTCAGTAGGTTTCGTTGTCCTATAAAGTTTGACTGTATGTCTCGCTGCGCGTGTCGAGTCCGAGATCTCGCTCTCCGATGACGTTGACTAAAAATGGATTGTATTAATAATAAACTTCATACCATAAGTTTTTGGGATGATAGTAAGTTTTTTATTTAGTAATCATGCAAGATTCTGTATTTATATAGTACGTAACTAAGGTTGATTTTTGTAGCTTCTTAAAAATTACTGAGTAGTGCTTGCACTAGGTAAATAAAAAAAAACAAGGCCACTGACCTCAAAAATAGTCGTAGTAGCAGCCTGGTGTCTTTTGAACGCTGTCTGGATTGCTTCCTGGACGCTTTCTATTTGGTCTTCAGAAATGTCCGTTTTGGCGAGTAATTCTTTGATTATATTGGTTTCTGATACTATATATAATAGGATAAAGAATGAATCAAAAGGCAACAGCTACGCAATCTGCCACTCTGCCGCGTCATGGTCCATGTAATAAAAACCTTTAGAATTTAGGAATTACGGATAGCCCTCTGTAGTGCGTGAGTGGACGAAAGCGAAATGCCATGGAGTGTCACACGCTCTCCGAAGTTTTCAGCAGACCCAATGGGCCGCTGACATTCGAAAGAGCTCGGTGAGCATGAAAGTATGAATTAGTTAATTTAATCTTAACCTATTATTATTATTACTATTAACCTTTCATTGCACGCCAATTATGGCGGGGCCCAAAAAGAATGATTTTGTAAAGATATTGGTAGGAAACCTAGAAGATAAGTCTACAAACCTGTTCGGGCTAGTTGCAGCGTAATACCTATACTAGAATTTTAAGGCTATTACTACAAGGATGTTACTGTGACACAAAGGACAAAAAAATCAAAAAGGACAAATGTAAGTAAATATACCATGTTCCTTCGCAAAATAAAGTTTAATGACTTCTTTTACGACTTGAACATCTTCCTCGCACAATCCGATATTCCTCAAATCTCCTTCTAGGCCCAAGTGACAAAGGTTCTCACAAACATTGTCGCAGACCCTTGAAGCCACTTTAAGGTTTTCTCTGGTTATCAGTAATGCTGATAGATAGTTTGCTATAAATTCGCAGAGGTTCGTCGGTTGGGCACGCAGTACCTTATAAAATAGAAAATGAAGTCTGCAACTTGTCTCACAAAAACGGCTACATCTTTCCTTTTCTGCGGAAGGACAACCCTCAAAGAATCAGTTCAGGAATCCTTTTCTGCGGAAGGACAACCCTCAAAGAATCAGTTCAGGAACTCTTATAGCCGGTGGAGAGCATTTTTCTTATTCTAACCACTAAACCTTTATATAGCATATAGGCTACGGGACAACGGCGATTGATCGTATGTGTATCCAACACGTAGCATGTGAAACAGAGTTTGACATGGGTTCATCATGCTTGAGAAATTTCAATAGAATTTAGAAATGTACCTATCAATAAAAAAAAACTATTTTCAAATGATACAGTAAGTAAGAACACAAACTTACCTCTCTAGAAATATCATACATCAATTCGCTAAGGCCATTTGGCAGTGCCAATTTACAACCCTCCTGTATTTGAAGTTGTAATAAATCATCCATTGCTTATTTTTTCACGACTTTATTACTTAAACCAAAACAGCCTTGACAGTAACGTGTTGAATTATACGAGATTTATTATAAATCTAGAAAGCTACGATCAAAGATGAAATACAAATAAAGACAAACCAAATGTACGAATGACAAATAATAAACAATGTAGGACAATGTAGGTCTCACATAAAAAAATTTTAGTAGACAACGTGTTCATAATTTAAATCCAACTGTATTTTAATCAAACCACGACATTAAATTCAGTACAACGCTCAGCAGAACTAAGGATGTGAGCTAGCATCTAATGATTATTGCACACTTTCTTCAACTTCGTTATCTTCGGTATCAACGTATTCAGTATTTTCCACGTCACTGGTAAAGGCAGTGTCAGCGTCTCCTTCGGTCTCAACTGACTTTGCTACGCTTACTGCGTCATCTGCATATCAAAAAGTTTTGTAAATATATATCACATCATATTTTGCAGGTAACAGGTTTTCTTAAAGAGAATCAGTCATTACACATGTAATTATTTATTAAAAAGCTGAATTCTAATGCACAAGAAACACGTGCTGGTAACTTTAGTTCACCGGGGTGAGTGGCGAGTCTTAACGGGATCCCGGTTACGGTCACCGGTGGGTGAGGGTGCATACACAGGTTTTTAGTGGGTAGGCCTCCGAGGAGAGTCCCACATATCCCCGCCATCTCATCGCCCGTGGCGGGGTACGCGTAACGCATTTTCCTGTGTATAAAAAAAAACCTTACTTGTATTTAAAGTATGAGAAAAGAAACATTTTTAAAACACTTGAATACTTAGAAAAAATTTCTTCGATCCGGGTGGATTCGAACCAACGTCATTCTATGCCAACTAAGCCACGGAACGAATTAGCGAACCTCACGAATTTTTCTGTGCTAGTTGCAGATGTTTGATTTTAGTTTTCAACAACTTTTTTGTAGCGCCATCTGTGAGAAATCTATTTCTTCAACCAGCCAGTTACTTTTACAGCTACCAGCAGCAGCTAGAGATGCCGCTTTAATAATTGTAATTTTTAAGTTATTGAATGTCACGATGCTTGGCCACGATGTTTGGCCACCATGATATTCAATTATTTTTGTGAAATTACTACGCTAGTTTGTTATAATTATTAATACAAAGATCGAACGCTTAGAAAAAAACTCCTTCGATCCGGCTAGATTTGAACCAACGTCTTCCAGTAAACCGTGACAGACGCTATGTCAACTAAGCCAATTTTTCTATGTGCTTGTTGCATTGTATCATCGAGTATATAACCAGAAATAAGAGACGAAATGTCATTTAATTTGTTTGAAAACTATTCTGTCATATCATTACCGTGACAACTGCGCTCTGATTGGCTAGCCCGAGTGCGAAACAATTGACGGGTGTCGTCAACTGTTTCACTTCAAATCGACCAGTTAACTAGAGCTTTGCTAACATGGACGAAAATTGCAAAATTACATATTTAATATTTAATTACCGATGAAATGTGATTCCGTTTGTTTTGAACTTAGATGTTTTGCTGTTTTTCCCACACCACCGTATGGAACAGCCCACATTGGTAGAGATATTATCTTTATCATAATAAATACAGAATATTTTTTGGAATATATGGAGACGTATACACAGGTCAGTTGTTGGCGCTGTCTATATTTCAGTGCAAACGAGAGTTGATATTTATAAGCGCTGTATCGCTAATGTGTTACCAGGAATATATGGCGCTTATTTCGTCTCTATTTCTGGTTATATACTCGATGCATTGTATTAATAATTATAACAGATAAGTGTAGTAATTTCACAGAAATAATTGACTATCATTGTGGTCATATATATATAAAAAATAAATACCGTAACATTCAATAACTTAAAAAAGGAACATTTTTGTTAAAAATAATTGAAGACTGACCTGCTTCAATCTCTTCAGGTACTTCTTTAGCTGTGTCATACGTGGATTCCGAGGTTGCTTTGTAATACTACGGAGTTAAAAAATAAAATTCAGTATTATTACCAGTTCAAATGAATGATTCAATGGTAACGAGTCATCGAATTGAGTTTACGGACACCATACACCAAAACAACAATGTTTCACATTTATATAACCTACATTTATGAGTACACAAATGGAAATACATTGGTAACATAAGCAAATTTTGACATCACATTGGCAACGACAGCTGCACATACAGGAGATATGAAATCAAGCTGAAATGTTCATATCCCATTTGCAACAGGTATCTATCTAATATCTCCGTGAAAGCGTTATGTTGGTTCAAAACACAAACACATTTGTGTCCAGCACTGGGCTGTGGTCAGAGCTGCGGCCACTACGTGTGCGGAAAATGTTACATCCATTAACTCAGTTGTTATATTATCAAATGCATGAGCTGGACCTACTACTGGATCTACGATTCTTAACATAGGTTTCATCAAAATGATGCCATCCCGTACGGTCCCACGGACTGTTAGTGAACGGTGTGTTAAACAAAATTTTCAACTTCAGAATTGTCTGACTAGTGAATATTAGTACAAGTGCTTATTTGTCGAGAATAATCAATAAACTGCAGTGTTTGAATATTATTTTTAAATGAAATAAAATTATTTACCTCTTGTTCTGCTTCCACAGAATCGGAATCTGAAATTTGATCACACAAGGAGTCTTAACATTAAATCGAATCTTATAATGACGATAATAATAGTATCAACAATATTAATAAACAGCCGTGTTGCCACTACAGCCCATACTACTTCATCGTTTATTTTTTTAGTAGCAGTAGAGCTCCTTGTGAAACAGTTCATCCAGGATAGTACTGCCACTTTACCTGTTTCTGCCGCCAAGCAGTAATGTTAGCATTCCTGTGTTCCGGTTTTGAAGGGTAAGGGTGCTGGTGAAATTACAGGTACATTGGACTTGTCAAATTACGTCTCAGTGTGACGAGCGCAGTGGCAGTGCACCTCAGGTCTTTGCGATTTAAAGCTCTGGATGCCAGTGCGTGTAGCTTACCATCAGGCGATGAACTAGTTCGTCCCATCACTTAATATTATATAAAAAAACGTTCTTCACCCATTAAGAAAATTACCCCATAATAATAATTCAAAATCAATCTTTTGGGCCCTGGGAGAGGCGATAATCTAAAATAGATATACAATAATAATTTATTTTCATATATTTATAATCTATATATAATATTTGCTAGCAAATCTTACTAAAACTAGTGTTAACATTATTTATTTATCTTGATTGGGGGAAGTCAATGTATCCAGATAATGTCAGGGCAAATGGCTGGGAGGCAAGAAATGTTGATACCACGCAGCATAAAAATGCTAATGAATGTAAAATATCAAGTTGTCTTACAATCTTTAGCTCCAGGGAATTCAATAACCGTCGCCGGCACCATTCGGCTCTGACCTCTCTCCTGTCTCGCCATCCAGCTATCGTCGTTTAAGGACTCCTTGCGATCAAAAGAAGAGCTGATATCTGGAGTATGGGCGATGGTCTTCTGAGGATCATATTTGAGCCCCAAATCATCCTTTATAACTTCTCCGAACAAATTGTCGACGTCATCTTCATGTACTTGCTCTTTTATGTCCTGGAAATTAATATTA